GGTTATAATTATTCCTTCTCCACTGGGCCACAATTTGTCAGAACCCTCTGTCATGACCTGTCCGTCTTGGGTGGCCCTGCACGGTATAGCTCATGGCTTCACTCAGTTATGCAAGCCCCTTCGCCACGACAAGGCAGTGATCCATGAAGGGGAATAAAGGATAAAATGTTTTAAATATCTTTATTAGGAACTGTTGTGCTTTATTTAATAGCAAAAGAACAAAAGCAATCTATGAAGCAGTATATAGATGTGGTAGAAACAAAAGTGATTTTCAAGGCAGGAAGGTTTTGGTGGACTATTATAAATTATATTTTCTCTCTCATATCGCATGCCGTTACATTTTTAGGCTTACTATTCCTTACTCCTTTTTTGTATTTTGTGTAACGTTAGCTCCAAAATGTGATGGGCATATCCTTATGCATGCTTGTAATAGTAACCATCTATCCATTTTTTTCCTTGAAAAGTCACTTTATTTCTATACATTATAATGCAGCAATTATGTTCTGGGATTGGTGAAGTACAGGCCTCCTTTTAACAGTTAAGAAAATCTTTTTATGTCAATCTTACTGCAGTACATAAGAAAAAAGAACAAGACTAAAATCGATAGTAACCTCATTAGGTTAGGCCCAGACTGTCCAAGCCAATTCATAATGAAGTGGAATCAATATTTACATTGCTTTAAGTGCTGTCCAAAATTGCCAATATAAGGAAATAAACTTTCTGGGTGTTACTTGTATATTATTAGTTACGGTTATACCACTGTTGGCAAAGTTAAAATAATGAATCTATTGTCATTTCCAATTAATCTAAAAATGCGTATCATTAAAAAAATGCACACATCATATCAAGAAAATACCAACACTGTATTAGTAAACCAGAACTTCAGTATTTGTTTCAAGTACCATAAATGGCTAGTTATAAGGCAAATAAACTACATTTACAGATAAATTATTGGCTTCTTAAGAACAGCCAAACAGTTTGTTTACTGTTGGTATGCTAATGTTGACCAGCAATTTTCTGTGCTCCCTTTTAAAACTTCTTTTTGTTTAAAACAGACTGAATAGCTCTTCAAACAGAGTTCACTTTCAAACTTAAAACTGTCCTTAGATAGTCTTTCAAATACAGGACTGTTTTCTGTAAAGAAGGACTAATGATCATTCCTAGCATACATAGAACTTGACACGCTCAAAAATGCAGGGGTCTCTTGAACCTTCAATTCTATGGTAATGTAGATAATTACCACCTGGAGTGAACAGCATCAAAATAAGAATGATTCACACCATTAAAACAGCACAACTTTAATGCGACTCTTAAAGCAGCTGCATTTTTTTTTCAGGCCCACCCAGAAGTCTAAAAAAATGTGTGCACTTTAGCAAATAGCAGAAATGTACAGAATTCACATGAGAACCAAAGCACTTCTTTGAAGCGTGCACAGCCCTAATGAAAGTGAAATCAAACAGTTTCGTTTCATATTTTGCTGCTATTTTCCTATTACTATACAAAAAAATATAAAATACAAAAAAAAAAAATTAAAAACAGCTCACCCATTCTGCAGTGAGAAAACTACCATAAGGTAATTCACTGGATACATTACAAACTATTTTTCTTGTAAAATTCATGTTTCCTTAC